ATTCAGGAGATTTTTCATATACCTCCTATTTGTATTTATTTTTAACGTATTTCATTACAATGTTAACTAATTGTTACACGAACGCAAACAAGGGCAATCCAGCTTCAACAGCGCAAAAAAAATACAGTTGCATAGTATTACCAGATAATTAAGATTTTACATCGAATATTATAGTGCACCTAATAATTATACCAGGGACTGTATAGAATTGATTCTTTCAAATGAGCTATTTTTTTAATCACTAATCCCATAAGGCAACTTGACTAAAGTTTTCCTTGTTAAGTTTAGTTCGTTTTACAGAATGACTACCAAAAAGAAAAAACGGAAAAAAAAGGCATTTATATAATTACGTAGCAACTGAACATGTTGTCTTTCTGTTGTAATTGAAGCATTACCATCTTAATACACCTAAATATTGTGTTAGAATGATTATTAAATTCGAAAACTTAGGTCATGTCAACTTCCTAGTTTACGAATGCAATTTAAAAATAATGATGATTATAATGATAAAAGCAGCATTGAAAAATAATGCTTTTCACGTTACATCAATAAAAAAAATATTAAAATATACACAGTATGGAAATTGTGCTAAACATGATGAAACAACATATAAAATATACAAATTATAATATGAAAACATATTAGTATTAACTTTAACAATGCTGAGCAAAATTGCGTAAAATTAACATTCAGCCATAGTTTTTTCTTTTTTTTTTTTCATTCTAGAATATTAAATATTTCTCATTAGACTAGTTAGTAATGACGGCGGACGAATATAATTAATTTTAATTCATGACCCCTAAAAGGGAAAGTTACAAAAGTGTTTTTTTTTTTTTAATTTCCAACTAAATATAGTAAGTTTAAAAAAAAATATTTCCTCAATTACTATACTCTAATGTAAAATGATAACATTATGGCTCATTTTAAAACCATATTGTACTTCATAAACTTGTAACTTAATTCTTATTAGGAATTTATGTTTAAGAAAATTTTTATAAACGTTAAAAATTATTAACTTTTAAAAATCAATATTTAATTTTAAAGCACTCTATTGTTAAAACTAATTGTAATTTTTTTCAATCAAGAATTACTTAATGCACCAGAGATGTTTGAATGTCTAACAGATTTCATTTTAACATTAATATAAAAGTAGTTCTCATTTAAAACTTTATTTCAAACAAGACGCAATTTTAAAGAATAAAATATAAAAATCAAATGACGATCAAGCTTTCATGCATTCAGATTAATCAATATCAATTTATTAGTTATTAAAACAAGAGGTGCGAACTCTCTGAAAATTTATTTTCATTTTTCTATAATTTTCACTCTTCTCGGAAATTTATTTTCACTTCTATTAAGCAACCATTTATTATTATATCAATCACGAGAATAAAAACTTAGATAAAGATTTATGATTTTTCTATGGATGCTAAATAAAAATTTATTATTAAACACCAAGAATCAAATTAATCTTAAGTTTCATGATTTAAAAATTTATTAACGAGCCTATTTTGTCACAGTCTCAGAGATTTAATATAAAGTTTTGTGATATAATCAGGGAAATTTCACGTTAAGATTTAATCACGAAGACAAAATTAACATAAAGAATTATGATTAAGTGTTATGGAAATAAAATTAATAAAGTCTTTTGATTGAATCATGGAAATGAAATTAATATTTTTTTTATGATTTAAATATAAAAATATATTTGAATATTTTTTTAAAACTAAAATAGAAAAAATTCTCTGTATTCTATTTAAAAGAAAAATAACTTAATTATTTTAACTGTCCGCCTTTATCAACAGACAGTCGGTTTCAGGGATGTTTTCATCCATAATGACACTTCTGTATAAGATTTGAAGATCAGCCAATACTGGCTAGTAACAGGTTTTAGACCTCACCTAACAGCCAATAAAAATACAGAATTGCGCATTAGTGTCAGGTTTAAGGCGTTGCTTGAGTTACGATAGGCCCAGAGCCACTTATTTGAATAAATCATTCAGAATCTTGTTTTTCATCGATTATTCAAGAAATTCACACTTAATTAAATTTATTATAATAATTGAGGTATCATAAAGATGTTTTTGATCAATAAAAATTAAAAAAAATATTAAGTTATCCCAATTTTTTGTTTTTTCGTTATAAACTTAATTCTTAGCTATTATATACATAAAATATGCGCCAACATAAATAATACCCTCCTGTCATTGGTTACGTAAGCATTCAATACTCATTTATCGTAAATTCGTCTTCTTTCCTGATAAAAATTAATAAGCAAAAATGGATAACTCTTTTATTCAAAATGAGTTTACGAGTAGAATTTTTTTAATTCAGCTAATGTATTACCATTACTTTTTTACTTTGAAATCTAACTTTTTTTTAATTTAATCAATGCATTTATTACCATTAATTCAATTAATGCATTTATAATTTTTAATTCAATTAGTGCATCTATTCACTCATTTATAAGCTATCTTTAATTCAAAACGCTACTCAAATATAATTTTTTTTTATAGTTAATGGGACATTAACAAATTTTTGTAAAATTTAAAATAATATATTAAATGTACCTGACCATTTCTAATTACATAAACACCACTAATGTGATAAGAAAGAATATTTTTATTCTATTGCAAAAATACTGTGTTTTCAATATGGAAAATTGAAAAATCTTCTTTTTTTTTTTTCATGAATTTTTAGTATTTATAAGATTTTTCATTATTAAACAATTAATAGCTAATGAGGTATATATATTTTTCGATAGAAATACGGAACACACTAATAGCTATGCTAATAGTATAGTAAAATACATCTTATCTATAAACACTTAAATCTAAAAGTGAAACTACTATTTATTAAAAGTTATCAAAGAATATATTTGAAAATGCCTCGCAAAACTGAGACTTAAATTAACGCTGAAAATTTATCTGCCCACAAATGGGTATATCAAATTTTTTATTGACAAATTTTTTATTCAACTCTGTTAATTACTTGTAAAATATTATTTTTTAAATCTAGCAATTTCTAATAATGCAGTTTAATCTATAAGAAATATTAATAAAAAGGCTAAGTTTGTGAAGAGCATATAATATTTTAAAAAATTTATTTGAGAATGCATAACGAAAAAACAGAACTTGAATTAATTTGACATGAATTTAAAATACTATTAATTTTATTGCTGGCAATTCTATAATCTTGGCATAATTGATTTTAATTAGAATAAATCAAAAACAAACAACGTTTTTTTGTAGAATACGAAAATAATTGAAGATATATATATAATCGTTTTTTTAATTTTCAATTTCAAACTTGCTTTAATAAAATGAAGTACTTCATATTAAATTATTGGTAACAAATCATTGATTAGCATTTTTTAATAGAAAAAAATATCAATATTTATTTTTTCCTACATACTTTTACTAAATAATCAGGATATTTTATTGTTAGTGTAGATTAGTTGTTTCTTAACTTTAAGTATCACAAATTTCAGCAACGCTTTCCGCATTTGTGGGCCTCTGAAATTTCTGGGACACTTAAATTTGAAATACTAATTGAGTGTTCTATTTTATTTATTTATTTCTTATTTATAGTCTATTACATATATTTTATTTATTAACTTATTTCCTCAATTAATATCTTGAAAAATGCTTTTGTGTTAAACTAGTAATAATGTAAATTTCTAAATGTATTATGAAATTAGTTTGAATTTTAAAATGGAGTGACTTACAAATGTAGATTTAGTTATTCAATTCCATTGTTAAAAATAACTTGTATAAATATTCCATTTTTATTATATAGGTAACCCTCTTTTTTATTAATTTTTTTATTTATCGACATATGTTCTTCATTTTTAGCGACTAAGTGGTGAATAAATACCTTACAAAGAATGTCAGGAAATAATCAATATTTAATCGGAAATTTTTTTTTATTTAATAATTAAGTGACTTAGAATCACGGCAATATATGTCAAGAAACCCTGATGTGTCTTATATAGCTAAAGAAAAATAATTAATTAATAATCATAACATACTTTAAACTATTTCATTTCTAACTTAAAAAAAATGGATTGGCTTAAAAATGTCGATTTAGTTACTCAATTCTATTGCTGTAAAAAGCTTTTATTGATATTCCATTTCTATTATTTAGGTAACCCACTTTTTAAAGCATTTTTTCTTTATTGGCACGTTTTCTTCATTTTTTGCTTCTAATGAGTGAATAAATGCGTAACAAAAAGCATCATCAATCAGTATTTAATAAAAATGTTTACGTCATAGTTTCGTAAGCCACGCAGCCAATCTGACCTGTTGATTATGAGTGGCAGCAAAATACGTTAAGAGATCCTATTGTGAACTCATATAACAAACGTCAAAGTTAAATAGTTAATTAAAGTAACAAACAAAGCAAAACAGTTAATTAAAACTTATAACGTACTAATTGCTAGTTGATTACTAATAGATTCTTAAGTCACAAAGAGCTGTTGTTTTTCAGTCGCGGCAAAATACGTTTAGAGATCATGGTGTAGACTCATTTCTTAAATTGCTAAAGAAAAATAATTTATTAAAATTCATAACATACTTTGAGCTATTTATTTATTAATTCTTAATTACCATGCAAAAACTTCACAAACTGCGGTCAGATTCATTGAACCAAAACATATTTGCCATCACGCAATGAATTAAATTAATAGAACAATGCAAGGCTTGATTCAGCTTTGCGGCTATCTCTTAATTTATAAAACAATCTTTGTTACATCATGACGTTTGCAAGAGAGAGTTTGCTTTACCCCTCTAGGTGGTTATTGTAAATCTAAACGACACCATCAAAATCTATTTGAAGACAGATTTAATTACCTTCAAGATAAATTACCCGAGCAGTCTTAGTCTGAACCACGATTTGCATTTCAAGAATTAATAAATCTTGCCAAAACAAAGAATAACTGTTGCACCGTTGCGGGTGGTTGAATGAACGCAATCAATGGAAAGAGGAAATTAAAAACGTACCACTTCCGTGAAAAAGCAGAGCAACAAGGATTTCATTGATAGAATTTTGCAGAGAATCCAAAGTGAGGCATTGAACACAGATGCGTTTCTGTTTGAGTAGTTGAAAGGATAGAAGCTACAAAATTCAGAGACGAAACAGCAACTGGAACATCGTCACGTGAGAAGGCTTATTATGCCAAGTGTCATATTGCAAAGGAGACATGAAAACAGACATTCTCCCCCTTTTTCTCTTCTTCGAAGGGATGAACCAACAATCCTCAGAAACATAAATTCTTTTTACCCTTAATTTATGAATGCCTATTTAAAGCCGCTTTTATAGATCCCGGCATTCAATGAGAACGTTTTTAAGGGTCGGTTAGAGGAAGCAGCTGTTATCGGAAAACCATTCAAATTGAAAAGTGACACATACAGAGAAGGAATGATTTTATTTATCCCATGAGACAAAATGAATTTTCAAGAAACATACAATTCATTTTCAATATTCGATTAAAAACGGATAAAGTTATTAACATTTATAACTAACTAGGTTTAGGATGATATTACGAATGAGCTGTTATCGAAAAACCATTCAAATTGCAAAGTATACCACTGACACATACAGATAAGCGTATTGAATAATTTTAATTAAACTCGTGAGACAAAATAAATTTTTAAGAAACATACGATTCATTTTATATGATTAAAAATTATAACTAATTAGATTTAGGTGATATTACGAACGCAATTAGGCTTAAATAAGTCATTTAAATTTATAAAGAACATAACATACAAAATATCTAATAGCCAAATTTTATATGAATTAAATTTTGTGTTCTATTCTAAACATTTTTAATAACAAAAATAATTTTGAATTATATTTTTTGATCATAAGAAATATTCTTTATCTTTTTTTACATCAAAAGTTAGCATGGGAAGAGGTTCGCAGTTCGCTTAATATGATTTAGTATAAATTACATCAATGTACAAAATCTGTTTTTTTAAAATTATTTTTAAGATAATTAATATGCATATTTCTATTCAAATAATTCAAATGGAAAGGATAATTTTTGAAGAGAAAAAATTAAATAAAAATTTTAAAGAGCATAATCAAGTAAATTTAAAATCTATCATTCATTTATAGAAGAGTTTTTATCGTGTTTCTTTTCTTGATTTTACAAAAATGGAGTACATTTTTTCAAAGTCATAAAATTAATCTCCTGTTAAGACAATCGTATTTAACTTTTTGAACTAAGTAAATGGGTGATTTAAACTACTTGATTATAGCTTGAACTCAAAGTTTGAACATCATAAACGGGAGAAATTATAATTTTCAAAACTTTTTTTTTCTTAAAGGCACATTAAAAGCATTATTTTTCCCAGCTTGAATAATTTACTTTTTAAAATGCTTAAGGAGATTTTAAACTATTTTAAAAAGACTGATTTATGAATAAATGCTTTGAGACAAATAAATAATTACTAATTAAAGCATTAACTTTTTATGTCTCTAAAAATAAAGCTAGCAACTAAAAAAAGGAATATTACAAATTATGTGCAAAAATAAATTGCTGATCATGAACTTTGTTCGCTAAATGTATTCAGCTTTAAATGCTGAAACTGTTTCTTCGATTAAAGCTTAAAATAAATAAATTAATGGAATTTTGGGAATAATGAAATAAATAAATGGAAACTTTGTAAAAGTTCAACAAAGTGAACATAATGTCAATATCACGTCCAACATGTTATGAATAAATGCTTTAAACACGTTAAATACGCATCAGTGTTTTCTTCAGATAGTAATGATCCGAAAGAAATAACCAAATAAAAACTATGCTTATTTGCTCTGGTAAAACTTATTTTTAAAATTATTTATCCTATATCTAAAATTCAATAGAATCGTAAGAAATGTTAAAGTGTTCTAAAATTCAAGTTGTGCGTGTATTTTTCAAGTAATTCGTTAAATATATTCAATGTTGATTTAAAATTTCAAAACTTTACTTCGTTGAAATAAATATTGTGTCAAGCTACATTTTTTAAATACGCAACAGCTTCAGAGGAGGAAGAATTTACTTCTCCGGATACATTCTTGTTTATTCCGTTCCCCTTTCACAAAGAATCACCACTATCTATTCTAGAAGTATCATATTTTTAGTGGCAATTCATGAAACATAAAATCTCATACAAAACATAAAGGCAAAAAGAGTCTTTTTCCTATCCTCCCAAACTTGCCTCAAATCACGTCGTCAGAAAATGGAACTTGAAAATTATCCGCCAACATCGTCGTAACAACATCGTCACGTATGTGTCATTTATAAAACGGGGCTCTGTACCTCAGGGCATAATAGAACAGGGAAGCGAACCATTTCTAAAGGCTATTTACAGCACTGGCATTGGGCCGTCAATGGCCCGGCATAGGGCCTTAATGTCACCGTCGCTGATGCGACTAAGACTTCTGAGTTATATCCACGCAACTCGAGGCAACGTCTAATGCTAAAAATTATACGGGACGGACCTGGTGTCATAGGTTCACCCGCGTGAAGAGTTTTCTCGATTTTCTGTTCCGCAGTGAATAGCCAGATTCTGACTCAACAGATATTTTTGGACATAATTTAGAAGGAATCAACAAGAAATACAAAGTTCGGTGATAAATAAAATGGGAACTTCTATGCAATCTTTGAAAAATTGTGAAAGACGAATAATTTAACTTAATTTAAGTACATATCTTATTAAAATAGGTGCATGGGGCTAAATGAATATAGTGTATAAATACATATAGTGCATAAAATTTGTTATTGCAGCCTAAATTTGCTAAGTTAATTAAATTACTTTTTCCTAATCCTCATGAGATTAGCTTTGAAGACAGTATTTTTTAATTGAAATTTATTTTCACAGCATTTTTGATGAGATTTAAGCAAATTTGATTGGTAAGAGTTTTATATGTTTACATATACGAGTTTTTATTTATTTATTTTAATATCAAATTTATTTTAACTAAGCAATTTAATTCAATATTTTGTTGTACAAGTCGGCGTCTCTTACCAAAAGCAAATAAATTCAAAGTTTTGTTTACACAAATAGTATAATGATGCGCACAATAAGCGTAAAGCATGCACACTGTAAAGCATTTCGGCTCAGATTACATTACAAACACATAAATCCGGAATCATCAGTCACATCATCAGCCAGAAAATTTATTTTACAGTAAAATCCATTTTTACTGCAAAATATTATTACCTGATTTTAACAGTAATATTTATTTAACTAGAGTCATTCAGTGATTTTGCTGTAATAATTACTGAAAAAATTATGGTATATCAGATTTCTTGCTCCAGTAGAAATGGATTTTACTGTAAAGAGTACCGACACCCTGAGTGCCGGTACTTTTTACCGTAATTTTATCCAGAATTTTGTTCCTTGTAAGCAAATATTCGTTTTTAAAATCTTCTCTACCCTTTAAAAAGATTAGCATATTTACGTGTTTCTGTTTCAAGTCCTAATATTCTTTTCTTATCAAATGCATCAACTTATATAACATCTCCAACAATTTCTTTTAATCTATTTTTAGAACTGTTTCTAAATGAAAACTTTTTTATACACAAAATTATGTATTTTTTGTTCGGCTTAAACTTATTATAATTTTTGATGAAAGTTTAACCCAACATTTAGCAAGCAGGCTATGGATATTTAAGGTTAGCCAGTCGTCGGATATGTTAAAAGAGGAGCTCAAATAAATAGAAACTTATTATTATTTTTTTTAAAATTAGTGTATGTCAACTGTCGCCTAAAATTTTGTTCATGAACTGAATTCATATTTATTCATTTAGTTATCTTATGTTGTATATTATTATTGAGTTCTAGTTTTAAGATAGATTTTTTCATCATATTGGTGATCATAAATATATCCTTGAAAAATAATTTTTATAATCTTCTGTGCGAAATAAAAGTTATGTTTTCGAAAAATTCATATTATATAATATATACGCCTATTTTAAATAAATTTCACACGAAGATTAAGCAAAAATTTTCGCAAGATTCTTACAATTTTCGTTTTTTACTGAATGAATACAAAATCTGTGATTAAAACACTCTCTAAAGAAAATTACAATTTCACTTCGTGCATGCATGGAAAAAGAAGAAAAAAAATCAAATGTAGTATAAAAATAATAATGTGAATTATTACTTTAAAGCGTATTTTTTATTCTTTCACAAAGAGCAATAGTTGTGTTACAAGGAGGAAAAATAAGCAAGCATAAACCGGTTAAATCAAGGTTATTTACTATATGTAAACCCAATAACACTGCTTATCGGTAAAAGATTATGCAACATTACTCAAAAATTGAATCTCATTTTCAAGTTGCTAAAACAAAATTCATGAACATAATAGAAAAAGTTTGAATAAAAAGCATTATTTAAGCTTTGCTTAGTTTGCATAATTCTTTGTTTAAAAAGTAGTTCTTAAATTATCACCTTAATCATAAGAACATTATTGCCAACGGCAATTATTTAAACAAAGAAAGAACTTCTAGGTAGCCTTTCGAGATATGAATATTAAAAACTTCTTTAGAAATCACAAAGTGTTTCAGATGTCTGTTTAGACGAATTTTGCTGTTTGTTTTAAGTTAAATGACTTGTGCATTATTTTAATCTTGTGCACTATATTAACTAATCTTAGATCGCAGTTGAGAAAACATATTAAGCCATCATGTTAATTTTGTTTATAACGTTGACCCGAAAAATAACAATCATAAGCAATCAATTCAACTGTGTGGCATTTGTTTATTGTTGTGCATTATTATTAGAAAATAAAAAAAAAATTTATTTTGATAAGATCCTTAGATTCAAAGGAGCGACTATTCATTAAGTCAGTTTAAATGTCATGAAGCAGTTTTTTTCTTTACTAATATATATAAAGAAATCTTAACAAATCTTCTCGATTACTATTTTTATTGCATGTTTTATGCACGAAAACAGTTTTAAATCAATCCTTTTCGCATGATATCTGTAAAATAATGCGTTAATTTTGTCTTTTGAAATCCTCATCAAAATATGTATGATACGGTTAAAAGGCCATTACGTCTATGTTCTATATTTATGTGTTTAGTCATTATGTTCTAAGGTAAAATAAAAAAAAATAATAAAAATAAAAAGAGTTGCAATTATAAAATGAAATTTCGTTCTCATTGTTAAATTACTTTTACATTAAAACAAAATAACTCCTCTACCAAGAACAGGGCGGCTAAGAATAAAATTGTGCAAAAGGCCAGGGCCTACCCGGGGTTTTGAGGAAGAAAAGAACTGTAGCATTAAAATATTGTAGTATTAAAATATTGCTTCACTATAGCTATTGATATTTGTGATTAACGAAAAAGTTGTGTTAAAAACTGTAGAATGCTTGAAAATTAAGTTACTTGAATACTAGTTGCTAAGTTAAATGTTTTAAAGTAAGCTACAGATGATATGAATATTTTGTAAGAAATAGTTTTTCAAATCTTCCGACGTTTTCATGCTTTTAGAAATATAAATTATTTTTAAATGTTACTTTTATCTAGTTATTGATTGTGTAATATAACTAAAAAAAATTTCTTCTCTTAAATAGAAACGTAATCACTTGCATTGAAAAAGATTGGATAAAGATTTCAAGAAGAGTTCTAAAGAAGGTATTAGTGATTATTACATATTTTACGAATTAAATAAATTTAATGTTATAACATTTAATAACTGGATTCTATTAATATTTAGGCATCTTAAAGGAAATTCGTAGCGATTAGACTATTCATAAGAATTACATATTTGTTCTCAGTTTCACAGAACAATTTATTCAACTCAAAATAATTTTTTATTGAAAATACAAATATTTTTTTCTTTCATTGATTAAATTTTGATATTGCGAGCATTTTAATTTATGTGAAGAAATAACAAAGTGAATTATATTACTCTCAATTTCTAAAATGAGGTCAATGTTTATGTCACACAACTAATTAATATTTTGTAAAAAATAAAAGAAATAGTATTCCTTACAATAAAATTGCTTCCATTGCATAAAGGATATCAAAATATTCTTGAGCATATATACTTTCTTTAATGAATTCTTTAAATATATACGTTCTATAAAATTAAGTATTCCAGTATGGACAAAAAAGTTTCAAACAACTTGGTTTAAGTCAAAACAAAGTATATACAAATATTTAATTATATTTATTACATATTTACAATCATATTTTGTTTTCTGTTACGAAATAGACATTTCTTGTTACATTTAGAAATGAAATGAATATGCATCGTAGTAAAATAATCGAAACACAAGTTTCATTCTAATTGCAGTTTAACTATTTTGGCATTTCCTTGTCCTTTTAATGTGTTGTTTCTACTGTATTCTCGCTATTAAAAATTTAAAAAGAAAATGATAATAACACTACTTTTAATTTATCTTTAAATGAGAATCGCTAGTTTTAATGTAAAAAACATAAAACAAATATTAACAAAAAAAATCACTGGTATTGGAAAAATTTAATAGCATTAGGCAATTTATAATTTGTAGAAACTTTTTATATCCTTGAATTGCTAATTTAATCGCCACTGTTAATGCGATAAGTACGGTTATAATTGTTACAATAACTGTTAATGTTACATATTAAAATGCAACATATTAAACAAAACAACTAGATAATTTCATAAAACTTTAAACAATATTATGCCTAAGTTATATAAACCTGTTACAAATTCTAATTATTCTAGTGAATGCAATTTATTCAACAAACGTTCTTTAAAATAATTGTTTCAATTAATTACTATGTGAAATATTTAATTAAGATCTTATAAATAATAAACAATGACTGCTAAAGTACGTATTATATTTTATTTATTCAGCATTATTCACAAATTTTTCGTGTTGCATTCGTCATTTTTATCATATTCAATCAATTCGTGCTGGCTCTAACGTAAGGTATGAAAATTACAAACATTCAATAAAACAATTTTGCTGAGTAAAATTACTAGTTACAAAGCATTGCAACGAACTTACGTTTATAGTAATACATTATGCACATACAATTTATTAATTATTTTTAATATAATTAATCCCAGAAGCTCAGCAAAATTTATAGAATAAGTTACTTAACATTTTCCATGAAATTTTTTTATTATTGTATAAGTTTCCATTTCAAATTTATTCCGATGTATATCAGTACCTATGTTTATGAAATGTTACAGAAAAAAATTAAAATGTTACAGAAAAATATTCTACAAAGAATTAAATGTTTATTATTAAATATTTATAGGTTTGTGTAGATTATATATTTGTGTATATTTGTAGATTATATAGGTTTGTGTAGATTATATATTACGGTAACTAGAAAAACAATTTTAAATAAATAACTGCAAGAACGTTTAAAAGCTATGGAATTGTATAAGTTAATTTTGTAAGATAAATATCCGTAAAATAAAATAACTGTAAGTGAGTGCAGAGTTTTGCTATTGTATGCCAGTTAATATTTATTTAACTTAAGCATTCAACTGTATACAAACAATTATAACTTAAGTATTCATACTAAGTGTACAAGCAATTTTGAAATACTATGAACACAGTAGTCTTGCATCAAAGAAAGAAAGACTTATGCAATATTTTATAGCATGCTAAACAAAAAAATTTAGTAAAATAGACTTTGTTTGAAATTTCTCTAAAATAATTAGAGCTTGATGAATTTAAACTTGAAATTGAAATAATTGTTACGGCAAATAAGTTGTTACCTATAGTATGCCCAATTAAATACCATACACTTAATTCTATCATCCTTATCAAGAACAAAGTAGCTTGATTATTGGATTTAAGTCCCTGTCCAAAACAGGTCTTATTCTCATAAATAAGCCTGGTTTAAAAGTTCAGACTTGTGTCTTGTTCCCAGCATGCTATGGACCTCGTTCAGAAGCGACTTTTCAACAAGATTTAAGGACCCTTGACGCGCATAATGGTTGTTAAGTGAGGAATTTCACATGCCGATATTTTATCTTTTTAAGTGTCTTCTAAGCCATCTACAAACACATACTAAACTACAAGAGAAATAAAAGAAATCTCAGCAAGAGAGCCCTTCCCCTTGAGGAGATATGTTTTGAAGCTATAAAAATGTTTCATGAATCTTGAAGTGTTTTGGAACTGCGAGAAGGAAATTTTCTTGGAGCCAGATAAGAAAGTTGACGTTTGAGGGATAGTCAGCTCCAGACAAAAAAGAAAGTTGAATAACTTAGGCTAGAGGATATAAGAATCCCTAAAATGAAATCTATTTTACTTGACAAGAAACTGATTGCAATGATATTTTTTTCTTTTCTGATGCAGACTTGCTTAGTATAAATTTGTCTGAAACTTCAGAAAAAAACATGTTCTACAAATCAAGGACAATGCTCACAAGATATGCCTTAGTGATTGTATAAAACCAGTGGGTGTCTCCTTGTGTATGTCTCTGTGTTGTGTCAAAATTTAATCAGTGAGAATGAAAGTGATATATCGCAGAAATATAAGTTTCTAACTTCACTTACTTTTTACGTAATAAGCATGTTGTCAAATTTTAACTAAATCTGTCATTTATAAGGAAACAGACATCTAAAGGAAAACAGTCAAAATAGTCTGTTTAGACAGAAAAAAAAGAAGAAAATAATTATGAATAATACCCTTTTCAAAAAAGCTGATCTCTTAGATCTGAAAATTGTTTTCTCACTTTTTCCCGGGAGTTTACCCAAAACATGCAATTTTGAAAGTTATTAAGAAAGGTAACTTTTTTTTGCCTTTTCTGTACACCATCTGATGAAACTCTTTCATATATAATAATAAAATAAAAAATATAGAAGAATATTTCAGAAAAAACTGGGACTTTTCATTATGAAATGAGATACTTCTTTTGCATTCGTTATAATGTTGAATTTTTTAAGAAAAATTTTCTATGTAAATGAATTTATTACAGCTTTAAAAGATAAAAAAATATTATGTTCGCTGGATTGATATAGTATGTACAGGAGAAAAAAGTTTCTTATGTTTGATATTCAGAAAAATAATTTTCGAAACTTCTAAAATTGAATAATTAGGCTAAACTTGGTCTTGACTATAAATAAGAAGCATTAAGTCATATTTTTCTTTTATCAGATTGGGTATTTTGACAAAGAATTTTGAATAAGTATTTTAACTGTATAATCAGATGAAACAAATTATTACTCATGTATCAGTATAGAAAAAAAACAGAAAATTGGCGAATATTTTTCTCCGTGCTTCTTTAAATATTAGAAGTTAATAAAAAAAAATTAATGTCCATGAAATTCCCGCATCGCATTTATGCCACACACAAAACTGTTGAATAGGTAACATTCTTACTTAATTGAACAGAATGCTGTATGTGAACGATAAAAAAAGTTTGATTAACCTTTGAAAAAGTATATTTCTACAAAACCTTTAGCATTAGTAATTCAAAAGCAGTATATTAATTTTAACCTTAAAATCAGTTTATCATGGTTCTTAAAATGTCTAAATAGTATAGTTTAACACAGTGGAAGAACAATGTTGGTCACAGGTGTAATAAAATATTGTGATATATTTCCATTTTGCTGCCAGATTTTAATAGGTCATAACTCAGGTAATTCCGCAGCAGTTTTTATATATGAATGGTTTTATATTAATAAGACATGCTATTGTGAAATTTAGAAACAAATAACTAATAGGGGAAATTTGAATGAAATAAAGAAAAGAATTAAGTAATAATGAATGAATTATAATAAACGAATGAAATTACCCATCTGTAATATAATATCGTGATATATTTCTATTTTGCTGCGAAATTTCAATAGGTCATAAGAATTGAGGCAATTCCGCAGCAGTATTTATATATCAATAGTTTTAGATTAATAAGGCATGCTATTGATTGTCAAATTTGGAAACAAATAGCTAATATGGGCAATGATGTATAAACAAATAATTAAACAATAATGAATTAATTATAATAAATGAATGAAATTATGAAAATGGTAAGATATTTTTTTTCAAACAAATTCATAAACACATTGATTTCAAATTAAATTTGAATTCTTTATTTATAAAATCACATTCTTGACACTCACAAACTGTTATTTTTATGTCTCTTTTGCAACCACAAAATTAATATCGCACTTATTAAATTGCTTAAAAATATTTAAATAAATGCAAACCTATTTTAATGAAAAAGGAAAAGAAATATATGAAACATTTACCAAAATTTTCAACGTATTTGGGAATTTTAATTGTTTAAATTATATTTTACGTTTCATATCCTTTAAAAAGACTTTTAACTTTAAACTATGATTTTATTTTTATCATTTCTAATTGAAATAAATTCATACTAATTGATTTTAAACAGCCCATTAAATGACTTATTAAAAATTATAAACTTTTGATTACGTTGGTTCAGTATTTCAAATAATTTTATTACGTAAATATGCTGTGTGTGTATAATTAGTTTTTGTTTTTTTTTGAAAAAAAAAGGACACCTAAGCAACACTTATGAAATATCAGCAATTAAAGATCCAATTTATAGTATAAATTCTCAAATTATTTTTAATTGAACAGTTCAATCTGCGTCATCCTAAATTCTATTAATTACGAATGTCGCTTTAAATACTGTCGATCACACCAGTGAAAATTTGAAAGAAAAAAAAAATAAGGAGGGGAATCGCTGGAAATAAAGAATCTAAAATTAATAAATGTCTTTTACATTTCAAGTACTTTTCAACAAATGAAAAAAAAAAGAAAAAAAAGCAGAAACTTCAATTTATTTTAATCGAAGATTTTCAAAATTTCAATTTTGCAGTTTTTTTTAAAATCTATTTTATGAGTATGCAATATTTTTAATTAAAGTTTCTAAAAAATTTTACTTTTCATCAACAACTGATTGATTTCTAAATATAGATATAGATTTTTATTTACCCACATTTATTTTAATTCAAAGTATATAATTCGAACTTCATTGGTATAAGACTGTATAATTTCGTTTGAATTAACAATTTTTATAATTTAACTTTCATCTGAGTCGTCATCACGGGTCACAGTTGCCCAGTTTGGTTCCCCCTCAAGCGTTTAGTTCTTTGTTTAGTTTTTTCTTTTATATTATACTGAATTTTAGACTAGTGAAAGTAAAACAATCTTAGAAAATTGGTGTGATTTTGAGCCGAATTTTATTTTGATATGATTCAAATTTTTTACTGTCTTTAAAAGCTGTTTAACCATGTTTTCAAATAGAACCATAAAATTATGTTTTATGTTCAAGAAGCTCAAAAATACGGTGCTACTAAGCACCAAATAAACCTATCCACGAAAGTAATCAATATGAAAAATACTCTATTCGAAAAAAGAAAGTGATAGTAAATATTTGTTCGTATCAAGTGAATATTTTGTTTCTGTTTCTACCAATTAAGAAAAGTAGTATGTTTTTACTTTATAATATATGATAACATTTGGTAAATGTGGTAAGGTTTGGTGATTTTATCACACCTTAAAGTATGGCATAAAAAACATTTATTCGATTAAACTTACGTTTTAGCATTGATTTTTTTTTTTAATAAATGGGTGTAACAAAATTGTTTAATGTGAGTAAAATACGAACGATAATTTTGATAATCAAAATTTCCGGTACATCGTTGCCATATTAGCATATAAATTAAATTCAGCATATATATTAAATACCGTATATTTCGGTTTTGCTAACCGGAATTAAGTTTTTTTTAACCACAAATGTTATTATCCTACAGTACGGTAATTTTAACAGAACTTTTTTCGCCGCATACTAACAGTGTCTTACAAATACATAAACGATAATTGTCAGGTCTGACATAAATCGGAAGAGCCCTTTGCTCATTGTCCCTTTTTTATTGGGTGTGTTTTGATGCATGTTGAAATTATTTTTTTCATCAATTCTGCAAGAAGAGGGGACGTTATCTTGTCCAAAGGAATGAGCTATGTCACTTTAAAGCCATTGGCCATTATTCTTGAGCTTCTTCAAGATTGATAGCAACGCTCTGTACTCTGCAAATAAATTCTTATTTATTTATTACTTTAATTTCGTTGGCATTATATTTTGTCTATTCTTTGGAAAGATGAATCGGTGGAATTTCTTGCTTTTTTACTGTCTGGGAAAGACGTTATATTTTTTTAATATAAAAACAGCTTGAAAAAGAGAGAAGCGGAATTGAATGCATATGGGTTTTTTAACCCCGGATTTCACACTGAAAAAAATTAGTGATGTTTATTTTAAAACAACATGCCTTAAATTATGTCCCACTGCCACCTACAAGGTCAAACTAAGAATGACTTAAATACGCCAAAATATCCAACTCCAAGCAAAATTTATCCGCATAAGAGTTAATGGATGAAACGGTTTTGTGCTAGCTTGAGTTATGATCTGGAGTTAGCGGTCCGTTTTATGCATAGAAGCGAGTTGATTGTTTGTAAATTATGCTTCTTGAATATAAATACGCACCTCTATAACATGTTCTGCCCGAGTATTACGTGCGATAAATGAAATGAATTGAATTAAAAATTAGGAATATTAGTACTATTTTTTGGATGATATCTATTTATCCTCTACGTTATGAGACCAATAGTTTCTGTTAGTATTTTTACTTCAATTATCTTAACAATTCAATTGACATATTTATATGAACAATCCGTCAGAACTATGTCAGATTGTAAGGATCTCATTCCTTTTTGATATTTTTAATAAAAATTTTATTTACAAATGCTTTGAAAATTTTTGGTAAAGGCATTTTTTTTCGTACATATGCACATTAACCCTTTGAAGCAGACTTTTTATTAAACATATTTCCAGGCTTTTTTTCATTATATTGTGTTAACTTAGTTCAAATCAAGTGAAAAATATTATATTTAGCAATTTAATAATTTATGATTATGAAATACAGCATGAAACACCAGTGTTTTTTTTTTTTTCTTTCTGAGTTAAAGGTAAAATCGGCTACAATAATTCTGCACTCAAATAATAGTTATCTTATGTATCCAAATATAAAATGAAATCTTTATATAGGAAAAAATTGCGGAAAAGGGGTGAAATAATACAATACGTCTAGTTTCAGTCCTCTGAAATTTAAATGATAATATTCCTAATTATATTTCATAAATTTAAATTATACAAGACGTTTTGCTTCAGTCCTCTGAAATTTAAATAATAATATTTGAAAATTTATTTTTATGAACTATTTCGTTGATGAATTATTTCGTTTAATTCATCATTATACTAGACGAAAAAATAATTATGTGAATCCAATCTTTTAATAATTTTTGACATGAGTATATTATAAACTACCTCCAAGAATGCGAGATTTTTTTTTCTTTTTTTTTTGGAATTGTGGCTGAAAACATTTTGTAATGATGATTGTTTGCTTGATCAAGGGTAATCAGGCATACATCAGCAAAACAAACAAAAGGAAAAAAAATTACATATCTGTAATATCATTTATTATTACAGTTCTAGATGCTTTTTTTCCGAGTGCTTTTTATTTCAGTACTTTCTTTCAGTGCTTTTTTTTCCGGGCTTCGTTTTCCGGTAGTCTTTTTCTGCTTACCGCCGAAAAACTGTTTAATTAAATATAGTTATTTTCAGAGTGCACGTGGCCTTTTATTTAGAGTAATTTTTTTTCTGTCTGAACATCATAATGATATTTTGTCACATATCAAAACAATATTTTGTATAAAAATAATTAATATATTGTATAAAAATAATTTTGCAATAAAAAAATTTAATGAGTTATATTAAATTAAATAGCAAAAATGCTAAAAAAAAATAATTGTATTACGACGTTAGGATGAAATAACTTTTCTGTTGAGTTGTTGTTGATAACTGTTGAGTAGCATTTAACTATTTAAATTTGTATCTGATTTGTTTTATGATTGAAAAAAATATTCATTTGTTTTATCATAGTTACTCATGATTTTATGTATTACTATCTAATTTTTGATGTTATCAGAAACAATAGGCATTTGTGAAATTTTTCACTAAGATAAGGTTTTTCATATGAAATTTTCTGACTAATATTAATATTAATATATGGAATATTTGACTGTTTTATTTTCACTGATGAGTACATCAATATTTCTTTTTCAGGTATCTGTTAAGAAGACGCAATGATCTGTCAACAGTTTTTAAAAACAGTGTGATGTCATAAAAGTATTTGTATAATAATCTAGTTATAAATTTGTAAACAATATATATTGTAAGTATATTGCGCACACAATAAACAAACATTTCTTAACATTTCCTAAACATTTCTTAATTTTTATGTTGTAATTTTGCCACTTCAGACATTTAGTTTGATTCTTCGTTAAAACTTATGATTTTCACAAATTCAAGCAACATGTATCAATGTTTAACTTTCATACTTTCTTTTCAATTTTTTGAATATATTTTTGAGTTATTAAAAACTGGTTAAGATTCTTAGAACAGAAAAATGGCCGATTAATATGTTAATAATATATTGCATTGTAAGATGAAATATTATTTGTTATTTATCAAATTATTAACAAAATTAATAAACTGAAATGGAAAAATTCTAGAATGTAAAAGAATGAGTCTAAAATTGAGGCAGATGTGAAGCGATCTCGTACTCACAAGTAAGTTATCTAATCCAAAAAGTTATTCACAACAATAGATGAAATGAGTAAATCATCAATTCCATGAAAAAAATTTCCGGTTCTCGGAACCAACAACGTCAGATTCTTTTGATAACCAAAACTTAGCACCTTCAGGGTAAATAGCTTTTTTTCCCCACCATCTGCCTGGAGCTTGCAAAAACTTTCAATAACGTCTGTCAATCTTGACTAAAAACAACCTATCAGAAAGTTGGGCCTTATGAGCAATTTTACATGTATGGAAGGGGGCGCATTCCCCTACACATTGAAATTCAAAGTAAAAGTCAAGATAAGCGTAGGGCCCGGTCCCTTTGATTTGCCCCAGGGGGCTCTAACGCCACCTCCTTATCGGCTGTCAGTATAGCAATTTTATGTCTTTATTGCACCTATTAGATATTTGACATCGTTAACGAGCTAAAATGGCTGCGATGACAATTTCTCAGCAGTGGTCCTAGTTAAGAAGGATTTGTATGTGCAAGGATTAGAAAGTTTTATTTCTCTATGTTTATTTAAATTTTTTAAAAAATTACTTATATTTAAGATTTTGTGAAATTCATTGGATAAATTTTAAGGATAAGCTTTAGATCAGGTACGTTAATATTTTTGAATTACGTAGTTACAGCAATGTTTTTTTTATCGTTTTTTACTATTATTATTTGATTGCAAATAAGAAACTCAAATCAATTTAATAAGATAAGTTTACATATGTTGTACACATTATTTAAAGAAAATAAAATAATTTGGTGCATTAAAATAAACCAAAAATAAACCTATATACTCTTATTTTGATGCATGTTTATACCAAATTTTTTTCTGATTTATAATTATTATTTTTATCTTCTAAAGCTACTTATTATTCAAAAAGGTGATTATAAACACATTATTTCTCAATATGTAACAAACAATTATTCATTGTTTGTTACAAGTACAATTACGTTACAAGTTGAACACTATGTTCATTTAGATCACGATGTTTCATAGCGTATTAATGTATTTATTTTGTGAAGTATTTTTATTTTTTACTGCAACAAATGCAAATAAAATAAATTTAATTGAAGTACATATACAATTAAATAAAATCAGTGCAGCAATAAATTAGAACTAAGTTTGATACACACACTTATTTTTACCTGAAATTTGATTTATAGTTATTATTAATAACTCTTAAAAATCACTTTTACTCATTTGATCCTTTTAATGTGAATGTTACTCATTATATATATTTTTTTCTGTCTGAGTATTGGGCGACATTTAAAACATACATTGATTTAATTCTTGTTTTCTTTTTAGTAAGTAATTATCTTTACATGATGTTTTATGATGTAATTATCTAGTTCATGATGTTATTAGTCTTTATAAAACATATTTACTTCTTACGCAATAATTAAAATAAAACTTGCTATCAAATTAAACATTTCACAAGATAGTGTTTACACGAAAACTAAATTATGATTATTATTAAAATTGCCTAAAAATTGTTTTAAATTTGCTTAAATCTTTGCAATATCAAAATTCTGAATTTTTGCAGAGTTATGTGGCTTTTTTGGTTCGAGTAATGTATTTGGTATAAATATTTTTTCTGGTTTCTAAAATTTCTGTGATATACAAACATTTTATAAAATGAATTTAAAATAGGTTATTTTTCCAGAGAAATACATATATTGCCATTAAATAGATTTAAAAATCATGCTACTTGCTATATCCTCGCATATAACTTTTCTGTTTATCCAGTAAGTCATTTGAATAATTAATGAATAATAAAATAATCTAAATGAAAGGGTTATATATATATATATTAAGTGAAAATAATTAAAAAAAGAGTAAATATATTTATATTTTTTGTGATCAAAAGTGATATTTTTGTAACTGAAAATTCGCTATTTTATTAGCTTTATCACGCTAGATTTTTGAATATTGAAGGCAGATGATCAATAACTGGAGAACTTTTTATCAGTATTCAAAAGAAATCAGGAAAAAAAAAGACTAATTTGTCTTGCATATAAAAATACTATCCGTGCTTAAAATTCCGCTTGGGATTAATTTTTAGCACTCTTTAAATTCATTTTTTTAATGATGGTAGCGCGACTATAAATAAATGTTTGCTTTTTTATTTCGTTATGTCCCCTCAATCATAGAAAAATGCTTTTTGCAAAACATGAATTTCTAAAATAAATATTTACTTACTTTTCTATTCTAGTCTCTGACTTACTTTTAAAAATGTTTGTATTTAAGGCCAAAACAAAATTTTAATTTTCTGTCCTTCTTTCTCTTAGTTAAAAAAAAAACTATAAATAAAGTAAAGTTTCAGCTTAAAAATTTAAAAAAAAAATAAATAAATTTGAATGCAATAAATTATTTAAAATAAAAAAGTAAAAAAATTTGTGATTATAAAATTGAGTAAAATGTTTCAAGAAAGATTAAAGCTTATGTTTTAGTTTAGAAACAACATTAGTTAATTCAAAAAATATTATACTAAAAGTTTGACAGCGGAAAAGTTATTACGATTATTTACCTTTTCTCAAGAAAATTAATTTCTGTTAAATTGCCTTAGCTTTGTTAATTTATGAGGAAATGAAGAGCAACGCAAAAATAATTGCTTTCAAAGCTCCTTAGATTGATTTAAATTTCTGAATAGATTTTATTCTTAACTAATAATAATACTATGCTAGAACAAGCTACAATTTTGAAATCATTTGTAGTTAAAGTAAAATGCTCTATTTAAAATTTAATAATAGCAAATGAAAACTAGCAAATGAAAAATTTTATTAGTTTTCATTTAATTCCATTTAGGTAAATTTCTTTAGAAATAGTTAAGTTATTAGTTTAACAGAAAATGAAGAGCAAAACAAAAATAATTGTTGCGAAAACACGTAGGATTGATTTAAATTATATAAGAGTCCGATTCTATTCTACAATACAAGAAAATGGCTAATAAATCACAATAACAGCGGGACAAAAACAATTCTTGGCACACAATTTATCTTTCTTTCCGTGAAAAACTCGATAAATAGCAGAAAAGCGTGTCATATACTAAAACAGACATTAACAACCTATTTAATTCATGCAATCGTTTTCTATGTTAGAATGACACCTACGGTTTTTTTCTCTCAACAATTTACTGGTGTAAGAATGGCACGTAATTTGATGAACAGTTTGACAAAGACTTAGTGACCTATCTAGTGAAATATACCTATCTTAAATAAAAGCACATTAATTATACTCTAACTGTAAGGTTAGGCACGATTTATTAAAAGTATCACACGTTTGAAATATGATTAGTGCAAAAGTTATTTTTTATTTTTAGCTTTTATTTTGTTCTTATTGTCTGTTTAATTTCAACAATGCTCGTTTTAAATTTTGGTTGCATTAATTATCTTTTTTAAAAAAATTACGGTTTGACAAAAATATTTCTGCTCGATGGTATTGTAAGATGTCGCAATATAAATTCGATTCATAAAACCATTTTGCTAAAGTATGAAGGATATTTTGCTTAGATTATTATTTTTTAGTTTGCTTCATTATTTATTTTTTAAATTTCTGCTTGTTTTTCGAAGCAAAAAAAAAAAAAGAAAAGACGAAAAAATGTATTATAATGTAAAGAAAATGAATAATTTTTAAATGATATGGTGCAATTTTTTTTTATTTTGTCTATTAATCCATTTTATCATTTATTATTTTATCAATTAATTTATATCTCTAATGACATTTTTCCTAACATTTAATTACAAAAATGGTAAAGTGATTTTTATTAAATTTTTTTAATAAAGAAACAAGCCTATATATATAAATATATTAATAAATATATAAATATGTATAAATATTGTTTTAATTGGGGGATATAATTTTTTAGCATTAATTTATAATTATAGTCTTAAAAATTTATTCCTAACGTGATTCATAAGAACAAGATATTTAAAAGCTTCTTGAATGATTTTCCTCAGATATCAAATATAGATTTAAAACTGTTACAAAAACTGAAAAATTAATTTTAAAAAAAACAATTAATGAATGCTGATACATTTTATTGATAAAATTTTTGAACAAAATATTTTCTTTTATAAGGCATGATTAGAAACAAAATTCTGTGCACATTCATGCTTTTTTTGTTTTATTTGAAAACTAAGCTTTGAAAAGCACACGCACACACAAAAATAAATAAAGAAGGAAAACAATGAGTAAATTAAACACACGCAAAAAAAAGAAAAAAAGCATATTTTATGTGACATGGTGTGTGTATGGTTTTTATTGTAACTTTTAATTGTTAGAGTGTACTACAGCGTATTTCACTTTACAAATACTTCCTGAAATAATTAAAATAACGAAGTTTGATTGCAATTTTTCATCCGCTATTTTTACTGTAAAATAAGAATATATTAAACTACATTAATTATAATTGCTAAACAACATTTACGCTTCAATGAACAAAGCATTATTTGCAACTTGTTTTTATGATGATATTCCATCAAGAAAATCTAAATTATAAAATAATATAAATCAATACACAACAATATGGTTATGATCAAGATACATATTAAATGTTAATGCTAAAAGCTTTGTTTTGCAATTCACTACGATTGGCAACCTAATTATAAAATATATTCAAATATATTTATTATTTTTAAAATTTTTGGATGAAAAAGTATCAATTGTTATTCGAATTGTAAAAAAAATTATTTTGTATATTTTCGAATTAT